ATCCAGCGTTGACTCCATAGGCCTTGTTAATTAATGCTATTATTATTGTTATAAGACTCAATGTAATCTGAGATCCACGGGATAGAAGAAGACGGTATCCATGGTCGGTTCTTATTTTAAGACCGTCTTAAGTAATGTCTTAAGATGCTAATACAGCCCTCTGATTGGCTTATGACATCTTAAGACTGTACTTAAGACAACCTCAAATTGACAATATAAGAATCGACTATGAATACTGGTCTTAGATCGGTTTCAGATTCTCTTCTGCGTCGCTAGGTGTTGTCAGGAAAATCGTATATTCGACGCATACCCTACTAGAAAAAAATCACGTACTGATTTAGAATAATTTACGTAATTTACTTATTTAGAATAAGTTACGTAATTTACTTATATTAATTACATGATTTCGTTATATAACTTAATGACGTGATTTTTTTCAGTAGGAGAGACTCGGAAGTGCTTCAAAGTTCAGAATCGCCAGATTAATTAACTTTGCCGTTGTGTCGATCAGCAAAGTCGAGCTCAATTGAAAGAAGGTGAAATTAGCTGGAAATCTTAGGTTTTCAAAAATTTGTCGTTTTATTGAACACGAAAATCTCAGGACTGTGTCGCGATTCGCAAACTCTGTGTGTGTCGCGAGTGTTGAGTACCAGACTTCTGGAAAGTGTGTTGTATACCAGGTATGTAAATATGAAACCGGAATTTTTTAATAGAAAATACACGTTTATTGCACGAAAATGATAAAAAAATATTTTATTCGAAGTATTGCACATCGCTAGCTATATATTTTTCCCACCTGTCTGACAATTTGTGGATGCCACGCCAAAAAAATTGTTGCTCTTTTGAGCCAAACCAGTCATCTAGCCATTTTCGTACATTTTCGTAAGAAGTGAAGCGCTGCTGACCAAGTGCGTGTCCTATCGATGCAAATAAGTAGTAATCGCTCGGAGCCAAGTCTGGTGAGTAAGCCGCATGCGAAAGTATTTCCCAACCAAACGCCTCAATCGTTTCCTTGACCAGTTTTACTGTGCATGATGGTGCATTATCATGAAGCAAAATCACTTTGTGTTGCCTTTTTTGATATTCCGGTCGTTTTTCACGCAATGCTTGATTCAAATTCATCATTTGTTGTCGGTAGCGTTCAGTATTAACGGTTTCGCCAGGTTTTAGCAGCTCATAATAGATCACACCTTTCTGATCCCACCAAACACAGAGCATTGTCTTCCGTCCGTAGCGATTTGGCCTTGCAGTCGATATCGATGGTTCGCCTGGAGTTACCCATGATCTTTTACGCTTAGGATTCTCACAATATATCCACTTTTCATCGCCAGTCACACAATTCGATGGAAAAATTACTTTCTTTTGTACCTGGCGAGCAGCATTTCGCAAGTGGTTTTTCGGTTTTCCTGCTGTCTTTCATTCAGTTCATGTGGAACCCATTTTCCCATCTTCTGGATCTTTCCCATGGATTT